TTCAAACACATTTAAAGCCGCAGATGAGTTTAAACCACAGCACACCTGATTAAAAATGAAACGTCAGATCTGAATCCTCAACAGGAGGAGCGGCCGTTAGACCCCGCTGATTTATGACCCGGACCGCCTGCAGAGTGATCACCACAGGTGATGACGATTTTCTCTCTGATCTCCCACAACACTGACGACTTTATGGCCTGTGTAATTAAAGACTTAAATACACAGTGGCCTCAGAGTTGACCCAAGCATGAAAGGGGGGGAAACTGATGAGGGTCAATCATTTCTGTAGAGCAAATGAGAAGGTACCTGCCACAGCACATAGGTGCAAATCTAAGACATAAAAGAAGTATTGACTGGTGCAGGGTTGGATGTTTCAGCCTCCTGCATACTTCAGGGAAAACTGGGAGAAAAGGGTGTTGTTGAAGTAGAGAGATTCAGTTTTGATAACGCTGCTGTTATCTGCCCCCACCTCTTTGTCAAGTGACAACAGCTGCCTGAAAGTAATGGACCATGAAGTCTTCCCTCTTGAGAACCGCGTGTATACACATTTGTACACAATCCACTAAGCTATCAGATTTCTTTTCAATTTGTTTGGTTGATATGAAAACAGACATGTTTTTGATGGCATGTTTGACCAGTGAAGGAAGCACTTTGTCTGTGTGTTTTTCCCACACAGGCATTTTTGGCTCACGATCATTTATTCACAGTAAACCCAAGCATTCTCCACAATTGTCCCTGAAATAACTCATGAAACAAACACTAACGTCCACCATATTTTCGACATAGTTTACTTATAAACTGGTGACATCTACCTTTTATTTACAATCCGACAACAGCCTCTGGTTCTAGATTTATTTCAAAGGGTCATCATTTGCGTTTTTGCCATTCCGATGCTTCACAATAAGTTGCCATGCAAGTTTTCCGAACCCAAACATTACCATATTTGGACAAGAGAGTGGAGTGCTAACTTAGCTGGTTAAATTAATAAACATGAGTCAGAACATCTGGGCCAGAAGATTATGCACGAGTGCCTAAAACCTGCATTCTGTCTGAATGCCACCAGATGGCGATAGCTGCAGCTGCAAAGAGGTCTATAAATGTCAAAAAGAAAACAGTTTTCTGACCTCTGTAAATACATTCCTGTTGAGTTCATAGGCTCAGTCACTCATTGGGGTTTATATTGAATAAAAGAAGCCTATTTTTATCATTTTTGTCACACACACAGCAAAATGAAGGATCACCTGTGGTATTAATCATTGGCTAGCAAGCTGTTAATCATAATCAGTTTCACAAACCTGCCCACCTCGTCACATCCGGTTTTTTTATAACCAAGATGGCGACGGAGGAAAGGTTCGTTTTGAATCTTCAACAAACAAACATGTGATGTCATGGTAGCTACGGTTATCTTTTGTATTAACTTTGTATTAAGAGCGAGAGAAGCTAATTAACCACAAACTAGCCAGTTCATCTGTGCAAAATCCAAGTGACAGTGAAAGAGCTAAAATAGTTTCACAAAGCAGAAAACTTCCTTTGGTTTACATCTCCACAGTGTCATGGAAAGACGAGAAGGGGTTTTTTTTTACTCTAAATGAGGAAGGACGTCACGTCTTCAGGCTCTTCTCTCGGAAAGATGTACAAATCAAAACATGTTCGGCTGTTTATGTCACTGCGACTGAAAGAATGTAAACTGACTTTTCCCCTTACCAATTCATCAGCGTATCCCAGGATGCTTTTAGGGCGTAAATTATAATCACTTGCTGTCTATTGTTTTGTTTTCTCTCTACTTTCTCTTCAGGCTTTACCATATCAAGCAAATCACCCCATGTTTAATCTCAAACAATCGCTTTATTAAGTGTTTTAACAAGTCGTGCATATTAGGTTGTAGGAAAATACTACATATGTAACTAAAAATCCAACATAAAAGTGATCGCATCATCATCATGATCGCTTGCACCTAAATGCACAAGGAGAAAATACGGCATCGAGGTCGCACTCAACCTGTGCATGTCATTGCATAAGACAGAAAGAATGAGGGTAGCCCGGGGGTGTTTGCAAGGGGAGATCTGCAAATTAATTGCAGGAGGCGATCCAAACGGATGACCTCATTAGCCATCGGTGGACAAGGAATGCTCTAAATAGCTTTTATATAAGACAACATCAAATAATTCCCGTTCTCACTCAGCTGAATATCAAAAAAATTACTATCTGCTCTATTTTTTTCAAGAATTTCAATTCATTTTGCTTCAGGGCTAAAGGACAGTGCAGAAGGAATTCAAAACTCCTGCAGGCACATACACACAAATACCAGCCTGGTATGGATCCAAAGTATAAATCTTACTGTCAGTCTTACAAGTTTTCTGATTCTCTGGAAATACTCAAAGAAACATGAGCACATAAAGCATCAAAGGTCTAAGTATTCCTGTTACTGTGTATGACAGAGGTGGGCCTCCTTCTTCCCAGCAGAGGGCCAGACTGGCTGAGACTCAGCAGGAGAAGAGTCACATACTTTGTCTATGACAAAGCTGGTACCGTGAATTACAACAGACAGCAGTCACACCCGGACCAGTGTTAACTTGTAGCACCGCTGGTATGTTTGAAGTAACATTGGCAATCCTGACAATGTTTGTGGTTTCTTTGCCAGACAGCCTGCAGATTTGCAGCTGGCTTTGATTAACTGGAGCAAAGCCATACTAGCTGGGGGTTTCTTTGACTGTCTTACCAGGTTTGAAATGTTGTACCTACTTTAGCATCAACATCACTGCCTGCAAAGTAGAACTGAGTGATCCAGGAGATGTGTGGGTTACACCATTCAAGGGTTTGCTGTGTGAATGATTAGAAAACTGATCCAACATCCAGTCTCTAATCATCGGCATCATTCAGACTAAACTGGTGCAGTTTACTGAAACTCTATCCCATGATAGTGATACTCCCAAGAAAAAAAAACAGTTTCTTCTAAGCCGACCTTAGATGTTTTGTTAGCGCTGGAAATTTCTTGTGGACATCACCATTACTTAAGAGATTATGAGATGCAAAAATAAATGAATTAAAAGTCCCAAATTCAAACCCACTTTCATGCACTTTCAGGGCCTTTACGTCATACAATGTATAGGGTATGAAGACAAAATTTTGCATGCTACTGTACAGAAAAAGTTGTGATCCCAGCACTTATTCCACCTCTGTTTACATACTACAGTACAAACACACGCTGTAACTGGGACACTTGTTAACATGCTCATTGTGTGTTAGAGGAATGAGCCTTTTCCTCGTCGCCTCTCTGACTCTGTTGCCGCGCCGATAAGAGCGCGCCCCTCTGTCTCTGCAGCATTCCAAGCATCCTGCAGCAAACGTCCGCCGCCATATTGCTGCACGAGAAGAGTCCAGCAGCAACCTGCACCCACTCCCTTTGACCCCCATCTCCCAACACTGTCCACACACACACACACACACACTCTTAAGAACAATGGGACGTTCCTGTCATATGAGGGATATGGCTGGAAGTAGAGGTGGAACACACGCGAAGCACGTCTGGCATGTTCAGAGAGGAATGTGCAACAAAGAGTACATGCAGGCAGCAACAATTCTGGGAAAAGTTATTATCTTGTGAAAGAAGTTCAGCAACTCATAAAAATACATATTAAATATGACATCCATCAAGGTACAACAATGTGTGAGAAGCGATTAACCGTCTGAGTCACGCTAAACCCACATTTGAGGCCTTTTTGGTAACATTTCTAAAGCAATCTCTGACCTCCGATAAGTTCAAACATTGAAAGGGTTGAAAATCTCTTTCAATGCTACAAGCTGGCAACCACTTAATGCTGAGAAATCTCAAAATCTGCTGGCAAATCAACCCAGTCTGCTCTGAGAAATCCCCACGAACCTGCACTGCCTCAGCCATTCAGAGATAAGTCAGCCTTTACACAAACAATCAAGCTTCATTCTTTATTCCCGTGACAAGATCTTACAGATAGCAGAAATTCCTCAAACAAATACCCTGAATATCTCAATCCATCAAGATCAGTTGATAACTGTGAGCCGATATTCCCACAGAGGATTCACTAATTTGCATGTGTATTTGATGTCTGGTATTTCGAAGGACGTTCGGTGAGGTGTTAGACCCTCTTGTGAGCCCACACAGCTCTCTCCGAATTACAGCATATCACCAGATAACAGGAGAATTAAACTTGGCAGCTGCGCTGCCATTGACTTGTGCAGATCTGTAACCACCTGTGATGTCTCCCTCTGCTGGTTCTCTGAGGTAAAGGATGGGAAACAAGGTCAACGCACTTCATCTCTCTTTTGTCTGAAACGAATCGCGGAAGTAATGAAGGACGGAGAAAGGGCCGACTCTGATGACTTCATTATAATTTCTTGCACAGTCATCAATATTCTCATCACTTTGCAGCCATCTTGAAATCCATCCACTTTGAGGGAGGATGTATTTTGAACAGTTAACGATAAAAACGAGTCAAATTTGATCAAACGTGCTTTAAAAGTTTGCTTGGCACCATTTTAGCAAAATGACAAAGTCATGCCGAGCGGTGCTGACTTCACCAGTCCAGATAGCTTTTGCAGTAATTTCTCAAAGACTTGCCTCAAAGCAAGTCCTCGAGGTGGTAGGTGTCCTCTCGTGCTGCATCAAGCTACCAGCATCAACCCCGAGAAGGTGAAAAGACTTCAGTTCGTTAAACTAATCATCTTACAGCCTGAATTTATTTTCTGTGAATTATTACATAAGTAAATCAATTCCTCCTCCCTTTTACTTAGGCCCCTTCAAGGAATCTCAGCACATATAAAAACCTTTTCACCTCCCTCTGCAGAGAGCCAGAGGATTGCCTGCCTTGCCAAATTCCTGAGCGCTGTTTGTTGGAGCTTTAAGCGCTCATAAAGCAGGCTCACGAATACCAAAGTGAGAAGTCAGCGAGCTCAGCTGAACATCACTTCTCTTTTGTTATTGTAACATTATGAAGGCAAAAATGAAAGACACATACTTCTCGAGATTTGTTTCCCACTTTATTTCCATTCGATCAGAGTGTCCTTCACTGGGAGAGCAGTAAATTGTCCCCACGCCCCCCTTCGGCTTTTTCACCGGTGCACATGGAAGAAATTAACATTCCATCAGCTTTCTAATGATGAGGACGAAGCACGCCGCAGGGGATGAAGGTCCATGCCAGTATTGGCACGGTGCACGCATTCCTGCGCTCGACGGGCTGGAGGGCCTCTGCAGACGGGTGTTGATGATGGGTTGTGTGTGTGTGTGTGTGTGTGTGTGTGTGTGTGTGTGTTTGACTCTCCCTCCATCATGGACGCAGTGTAAACGATGTGGTATTTTCTAAGTTATGACAGACGTATGGGGAGGATGGACCCTCCTTTGGCTCGCTGCACCATCAGTCTGTCTGGATGGAAATGCAAATGTCCCATCGATGCTGCATTCCAGACAAAATAAAATATGCAGGTCAAGAAAAACAAAAAAACAAAAACAGCAGTTTGGACCAACCGAGTTCTCCTACTCAAACTTCATCATCTTGTCCTTCTACCTGGACATTTGACTTACGTGGTGTTCGAACACATTCCTCCTGCTTCCTGAATCTTGCAGTGCAGGATTTAGGGCAGCATCTTGTCAATCACAAGGGAGGCATGCCTTAAAGCATATAAGTTTAACTGCCTTCTGGACACTAAAGGGGATGACCATTTGCGAAGTAGACATCACGTTGTTCTCATTATGACCTCAAGCAACAGACTGAGCCCATAGATTTATCAGGAAAGTGTTACACAAAGCCACAGGCAAAGGGAGACACTGGCCATTTTTCCCAGACTTCAAATTAAATGGATTTGTTTTGCTACTGTGGGAGTCGCCCCCTGCTGGCCATTAGAAAAAAAATACAGCTTCAAGGCACTTGTGCTTTCTGGCTTCACTTTTCAGACCTGTAATCTACATTCAGCTTCTTCTAGCACACAGATAAACACACATTCAAGTGTAACAGCCTACAACCTTTACTACAGACGGTTGTTAAGGAACACTTGGTTTAACTCGAGGCATAAATATGAAAAAACACTCAATCAAGGGACGCACTAACCCATCTGCGATCATTCATGATGATATAATAAAGCCCAAGAACACAGCTGGCACTGTTGTGACTCCATCACTGACCATCCTGCACTGACATCTGGGCAGACTCCAGCTCCGAGCTGCTGTGCAGGAACGTGGAGAACGTCTTGTTGTTCTTCTCCTTCATCCCGAAGATGTGGCTGTCCAAACTCTGCAGCAGCTCCTCAGTCCGTAGGTTCTCTTCCTCCAGGAAACGAGTGACCACTGTGTCTGTCAGCGATGCAGACAAAAGGTCCTAAAGAGGGGAAAAAAAATGCAACTTTAGGATTCATCACCCCAAAAAACTAAACTAAATGTTACAGGACATCAATTTTGATGAGGCTCACCTCGGAAGAGGGAGAAGAAATCTCTTTATCGCTGCTGGTCAGAGAGTCTCCCGGGCTCGAGTTTTGTCCATCAGCTGCAGATTTGCTGGAGCTTAGCACAGAGTTTCTCGTGGACAGTCTTGTTGTGGTGCTGCTGCTGGAGGACGAGGAGGCAGATGAATGAGGCCTGCTACCTTGGGACTGGCTGCGGGACAGACCTGTGGACGTCTTGGACGAGGTTTGAAGTTCTTTAAAGAGCATCTGGATCTCTCCTTCATAGCGAGTGGTGTTCTCTAGAGCCTGAGCTTTTCTGACTTGCATGTTCTCCTGTGGCCTGTGACAAAACAACACCCCAAACTATTTAAATCTAATATGGAAAAAACACTTTATATCTTAGTTTTTACAAAATACTGAAAATTTTCCTCTTTTACAGGCGACCGCTGATGGAAAGTAGCCTGTCTGTGTACATATACTCGCTACCTGTTATACGTAGGCTGCTCTTGGTCAGTCGCAGCATGGCTGAGCACAGCGTGTTCATATTTATCCTGACTGTTCTGATTGGAGGCCTCAAGTTGTGACTGCATCTCAGCGAGTGTCTGCCTTAACTGCCGATTCTCCTGCTCCAGGCTGCTCAGAGAAGACACATAACTCTCCCTCAGGGAGGCAAGCGGGGAGCCTCCCCTCTGTGGAGCGATGAGTGATTCAGGGGGTTAAAAGCGACAGAGGAGTGATTCGGACTTAGTAAAAAAGCACAGAAGAGGCACAAAGAAAAGGCTCCTGTCTGTAACATGAGTGATGACTGATATCGAAGCAGACAAACCTTTGGTGACTGAGGCTGCAGTCTCTGCAGCAGACCTTTCAGGTGCTGGTTCTCAGCCTGTACCATCTCCAGCTGTGCATGAGTCATCTGTGAAAGAATGAGAAAAATGTGATGAACCTCAAAGAATACAACATAATTTCACATTTAGCATAAAACAGGCTGCATTAATCTGCCAGAGATACAGAATAAATGCTAAGAAATAGCAAACCAGCCGTCAGGAAATCGAGGTTTGTGAGTAAGTGTCTTATTTATCAAAGCGCCTGTAAAAACAAATTTATACTAAATGCAAAGTGAAAGCAAGTGTATGTGAACACAGATGAATCCATTCGCATGAGTTAAAGATTTTTCAGCCTTTGTGATTGATTATACTCCTCATGTTGAATATAAATGTACCAATATTTCTTAGGTGGGAAACAAACAGGCTCTAGAGAAGGGGTGTCGAAATCCAGGCCTCGAGAGCTGGTGTCCTGCAGGTTTTAGATCTCACCCTGGGTCAACACATCTGAATCACATGATTAGTTCATTGCCAGGCCTCTGGAGAACTTCAAGATAGGGCTGTTCGATATCGGTTGTTTCGTGGTGTCTCAAAATAAGCTGTTTACGGCAATATTTTTTCATCGTTTCGATGGACACTGTAGTGGCTATATTCATTTCTTAAAGTTCTCTATATCTCTTATATTTAATATAACAACACTACAGACGGACAAGCACCTGTTTTTATGCGTTATGGTTAGCAACAACGACGGTAACACCATCGCATGTCCACTTGTTTATGTTCCACGTAAACCTTTCACAATAAAGCTCAAGATCCTGTTCAGACTTTTCAAAATAAACTGAATCACGTGAAAGAGCAGATTGTTTACGGATGAGAAGTAAAAAAAGAGCCGCCAGGTGCTAAAAAATAAACCTTAGACTCAAACGTTAGAACAGGCTTTTCCCCGCAGCACGCCGTGTAATAAATACTCACAAAGAAAACGGCGGGCGTTACAACTTACGTCTAAAAATGTATAGTTTCATGCATCGGTTAAAACACTCGACTCCAGCTACGTGACGCGCAGCTGGAAACACTTCCCGCAAGTCGAGCTGCCCGAGATTCACAGAATTTACAGAAAATGTTACATTTTTGTGATTTATATCGTTATCAGACGATAGAATTCTTATAGGGGGATATGAGATTTTGGTCATATCGCACAGATCTACTTCAAGACATGTTGAGGAGGTAATTAAGCCATTTGTATGAGCTGTGTTGGATCAAGGACACATCTAAAACCTGCAGGACACTGGCCCTCAAGGCCTGGAGTTCGACACCTGTGCTCTAGAGAGCCGATTACACAAACGGAGAGCAGCAAAGGACAGGACGTTACACCATCAGCTTGTTAAGGGTCTACCATTTTTCTGGTTAAAAGCTTCAAGTTTCACTGTCCAGTCCCTGCCCAGTACAGCATTCATGCAGTCCATTAATCTAGATCATTTATAAACTTGCTGTTATTAGCAGAAGATGCTTTAAGGGGCCTTGGAAAATCTCCATTTTTAAAGGGATTGCTGCTCACAGAGGCTCGTCTGATCATTCTAGTTTTCTCTCTAGAAGAAGTCTTTACCTACATAATCACTGTTTTTGTGAACTGGCACTGCATTCAACTGAATTAACTCACTTTGAGCTCAGCAGACTTCTTCTCTGATCGCTCCTCCTCATCGCGAAGCTGCTGCTTGACGCTGGACGAGGAGGCGCTCAGACTGGCGACGGCGAGGTCGCGCTCGTGCAGCTCGCTGGTCAGCTTTGACACCTCCTTTCTCATTCCCTCAACTTCGCCGCTGTGAGTCTGCCTGGCCCGCTCAAGGTCCTCTCTAAGCTGTAGATCAAACGTAGGCAGGACATGAGGTAGCGACGCAGAGCTGATGTTAAACAACAAGAACAAGAATGAAAAAAAAAAAAAATGAACAAAAACAAAAACACAGACCCTTTTCGCTTCAGCCATAGAAGAGTCACATTCCGCTTTCAGGCTTCGCAGTTCTTGCTCCGTCTTCAAGTTGTCATCTCTCTGTTTACTCACCACCTGCAGCCTGAGTCCAGAGAAATAAAAGCAATGACTCGCACAGAAAAAAGATCTGAATGAAATCCACTGACAACTCTGTGTGCTCTGCATTTTTTTTTCTTAATTTACTTCAGGTCGATTTCAGTGCATATACACATTTAAAAAGGATCACCGAGGTCCAAAGACATTCAAAAGCTACATTGCATAAATATTCAATATTCCCACACGAGGACTAAAAAATATTAGCATCACTCTGCAACTTTTTGCTCCCACGGTTCCTTTTCTCCTGATAGCTACATCCTAAAATACGTCTGATTTGGAGAAAAGTGATTCGGTCTGTAATTTTTCTTCTTGTGATATAAATCAGGCGCACCCCATTCCCACTCACTCACAATTTGCTTCAGCACAAGACAGGACTAAAAGGAGTAAAAGACTAAAAAACTAACTTGGGTTTTGGACTACAGGAAGGGGCGGACTAACATTACCTCTCTTTGAGACATGCCAGTTCAGCCTTGAGATGACCCTGATATGCTTGGGCACCTTGGAGCTTGGCTGCAGTCTTCTCCAGCTCTCGTCTGAGGATTTCCACACCGGTGCAGCCCTGAGCTACCAGACAGTCTTCCAGAGAGCTGCACAAGAACATCACGCAAACATTCACAGGATGGCAACCTTTATGATGGACAATAGCTAATTGTTTTTCCCAACAGAAAACATCAGAAGATGAAGAAAAGATGTTAGGGAGGATGTGTTGATTCATGCAGGCTGGATAAAAGTATCACTTCATTACTGATGTTGTAATTTTAAATAAACAGGCTTGTTCACTAGGGACGGGAGAACCATGAAACAATCATTAAAGATTAGAAAAACTACAGTATGAAAAGTACAGACCGTGGCTGCAGTGGACACTTGTTGTGGTTTTCAACACTCGGGTCGTATTTAACAGTCGCTGACAGACCAACAACAGCACAAGCAGGAGTAGCCCACAGACCAGTTATACCACATTTTTCACACTGCCTACATCTACAACTGACACAGTCTGCAGGTAGATGGCCAGTTTGCTTAGCATTTAAAGAATTTGATCAGCTCTCGTTTTGGCTGCAGATACTTCAGAGTCAGTCACTTGGAAAGCTACAGTGCTACAAAGCAATATCCTGCCTACAGTGTGGACGCAGTACGCCCCCTTCTGTATAAGTTGCTGAACTACATCACTAGACATACACCCACCGAATGACTTGATCTTTAGCTTGCAGTGCTTGGTTGAATCTGGCTGTTTCGTTACGAAGTCTTTGGCGCTCAAGACTGGTTTGCCGCACAAAAGCATCCTGGGAGTCCAGCTCCTCCCATTCCTCAGAAAGCACCTGCAAAACAGCGGATCATCAGCTGATTAAAAGATATTTTAACCTGGCACCTATGAGGAACTTTGAGCTTGTAAATGCTTAACTGAAAAATCAACATTAAGAGGTTTATGGGCACTGGATTAAATGTTGAAGCTCAGTTTCTCGACACTGATAAAGTTGATCGGTAGACTAAAGTCTTTTTCATTTTCTTTCAGGCTTAATACATGTCGGAGAAACTTGTTGTGAGTGTTGTGTAATTGAAAATCTTCAGTCCTATCACCTTCCCCAGGTTTCTGAACCTACCTTCCAACTCTCAAGTGGTCGGAGACGCTCCAGTTCCAGCTCCTGCGTGTGCAGACGTCTCTGAGCTTTTTCCAGCTGAGAGCGCAGGCGCTGCACCTCCAGACAGCAATCCCTGTGCTCCCTCTCCACTTGGTGCGCTGCCCACTGGGACTGGAAACAACAGAAAACACTTGGTGAATAAAACAAACAAGCCTCTGCTTTCTTTACATGCTGAAGTCACTGAACTTACTTTTATGTGTGAGAGCTCATCTTTCAAGCTCTTATTCTCGGTCTCCAGGATTGTGAGCTCCTGCCGGCTCTGGGTGCGCTGTTGCTCCCACTCCAGAGAGCGCTGATGATATTCCTGCAGAGAGAGGGGAGCTTCATTATACCTCACATACCCAGAAGACGGCAGCAATCCAATGGCATGACTGGGGTGATGTCAGGGTTCACCTTCTGGAGGTCTGTCTCTTTCACTCCTGCGTTAGCGTCCTTGAGGTGTTTGCGCTGAAGCTTATGGTAACTTCTCTTTAACTTATCCAACTGCAGGAATAGAAACGCACTTACTATATTTGAAATCATGCAGGAGAGTGAGTACAAACAGAAAAACTGTAAACTTCTGCCCAAGCAAAAGCAGAAAAGATTTGTAACAGACAAGTTTTCGCACCTCTTCACGGAGTTTGCGCAGTTGCTGCTCGTACTTGGCGGCTAACTCTTGTGGACCCGTCTTGACATCTTCAAGCTGCTTGCGGAGTAATCCAATCTGCAGTCATGGGTGAGGACAGTAATGGTGTTGGAAAGAGTTAATATGAGCACTCAATTTATGAGCTGTGTTAGCAACTATCTTATATTGAGGCTATGCTCATTACCAGCTGCATATTTTTATTTTTGGTCTCTACTCAAAATGCTCTTTATTTATTCACACTGAGCCTTGACGCACCACCCCACTTCATCGTTGGTGCCCCACAAAAATTCCAGGTTCACAATCTACAAATTTTATCATCATCAACAAAAATAAAGGATCCAAATCTAGTTTTACTTAAATAAAGGCTAATTTAATCATATCAACAACATCCATTTTTCTTTTCCTCATCTGACGTTGCTTTGTGGCGGCAGCAGACAAAGCAACGCCGCTGGGAAACCTTCAAAAGGGAGCAATTGTCTTGATTAGAGGCCATCTCAACTTGCTCTTTTTAACAGCGAGGAGCAGTGCCTCGACTCTGAGCTCCCTCCAGATGTCCTGGCTCCTAATCCTACCGCTACGCCCAGACTCACTTCAGCTGCTTGTATCTACCGCCACACTCGTTAGGTCATTCTCCAGATTTCAGCACGCACTTTAGGAGTTTGCAGGCACATCACACTCCATGTTCCCATCACTTGTGACTAAGATCATAGCCTCAGACTTGTAGGTGCATGCCCTCATCCTGGCTGCTGTCGAGGAGGAAATTATTTTACTGCTATTGTTAAATAATTGTCATTGCATTAATAATATAATCTGCAGCATGGATATTGCATTCCAAGGTTTAAACAGTGTCTCTTTCAGAAAGACTGAGTTGCAGGCTGACAGGAAGTTGTATGCAGAAAGAAGCAGGAAGTTATTTTGAGCCGCAGGCTAAGACGAGGCTTTAACAATGTAACAGATAGCTTTTTAGTAGAGGTTCTTGATTAAAACATTTATTTAGTAGAAGACATACACATAGTCTCAGTGAGCTTCTGGTCTGGTAAAAGTCAGAAGTGCAACAGGTGAATTGAGAAAGAGCATTTGAGGACGAGACACAGACAGTAGGTGAAGAGGTGACACAAAGAGCATGTGAGGTCAACACACACACACACACACACACACACGTTAAATTAGATTTATTTAGAGGAGAGGTTAGTTATGTTTGGCTGTAACTGCAAAATTGTCTTGGTAAAAGAGGAACCGTTTCTTGGTGTCTCGGCAAGAAAGAGGAACAAGACAAGAACTGAAAGGTAGACAGGAAGGGCTAGCCATGAAAATAGAAGATGATTTTCTAGGTAAAAAGTCATGATGATGTTGATCTGATCTATGTATAAAATGTATCTGTGACGCATGAAGGGGCGTCAGTAAAACAAACCCTGATGCTATAAAATATCTGTTCATGCTTTGATTAAGTCGAGACTACTTCCTGTCTGCGTACAGAGTTCTCTTCCCACGCGTGTATTCATTAAAATCATCGTTTGACTTCACCGGCCGGATCGGTGTGGTTATTCTTCGATCACCTCTTGTACCCTTCCTCAATATTGAATTCTTAACATTTGGGGGCTTCGTCCGGTTATTGAGGAAGGAGAGTTGGAGGTTTGGACGGAGAAATCCGGGGTCTTAGGTGGTCTGACGGGCAGACATGAATTCCAGTGGTCTAAGTGAGTGGGCATAAGCCGGCTTATCCAAAAGGTAAGGCACTACCTGTTGAATTATTTCCAAAGTGTGCCAAATTGGACATGATAAAATTTAAGTCTACTCACTGAAGTTACTGGTGGATGTCTGTTTTGATTTTGATGAAAATTTCATGAGTTGAAGCAGTTAGAGTTCTGCTAAGAAGAATGAAGAAATGAAAGCAGTAAAGTCTGCTAAAGCAGTAAAGTCTGCTAAAGTAGTTAAGAGTCTGATAAGAAAAGTTTAATAATGGGTTTGAAGTCCCAAAGAAATTGAGTTAGAGTCTCAAGTAGTTTGGTAGGGTATTTGGTCATTTTGTGGGTTAAAGTCCCGGTTGGTCATTAGGTCAGACCTTTGTCGGTCAATTTGTGGGTTAGAGTCCCCATTGTCCATCAGGGTCGATCTGCCTCAGTTATACACTTGTTTTGGGTGTTGATTGTTGTTTCAAAGTATTATAAATTATTCTAGAACGGCAGTTAGAGTCTGCTAGGAAGCGCAGAGCCCGGAGGTTACGCTCCCTCCTTGTCGTGGACGCGCGACATTGACCTCTCGGCGAAGAGGGTTAGTTCAGTGTGGTTTAGCTGTGGGGTACAGGGCATCCCGGAATTAAGCTAGGAGTTAGAGTCTCCTTACCGTTTGCAACGGTATCTGCGCTTTTTTGGACAGGAGAAGTTGGTCTTTCGGGCGTGTAACTTTAACTTAACACTTCGAGGTAAGCCTTGGCTGTGAAATGCCAAAAATAGAGCTTCAGGCAAAGTTTGGGTTGGTTGACGCTTTTAAATTGAGTTAGGGATTTTAGAAATGAGGCCAGAAACAGTTAAAGTCTTGATACTGGTTAATTGGTGGGCGGTTATTTTAAATTTGTCGAAATTGGTTAGGCGCTAAAGCTGACAGATCTGACAGTAGTTGTAAATATAAGCGTCTTTGTAATAAGAGATCTCTGTGTGAAAGGAGTCTGAGGCAATGCTGCTGCTATTTTTAGACGGTGTGTGTGAGTGAAAAATGCAAATGAGTAAGCAGTGAACTGTTTAAGCCACAGTTGGTTTACAAATACTGCTGCAAACAGTGTTGAGTGTGTGTTTAAAATGCCATTTATGTTTAGTAAAGGACTATAAATAAAGTTTTGAGTTGCCGTAGGGGATGCATAGTAACTGACTGAGTTTGGATGTAGATATATAAATAGATTGAGTGCACTGTATATACTTAAGACTAACACATCACTTTCAGTAGTAACTTTTCTCCAGCATTAGTTGCTGGTGGTTTTATTTTTTCAATTCTTGTGTGTGCGGTGAGAATTAATGGAGGTTTCAATTTTTTTGTTTGTTTGTTTTTTACTTGCTCTTTTGATTATGACAAGCATGTCTAAAATACTCTTAGGAAAGTGTGTTGAGTTATATTCCTTAACTCTAGTCACAGTTTGAGTGTGAATGCGGTGACTAGAAGCTTTGACATGATGAATAAAGGTGTGAGAGGTATTTCTTGGGTGATGTAAAGTAGGACGTTTTAAACTTTGAAAGTGTTTTTAATTTGAGAGAGGCATGAGTGATGTTATAAGAGTTTAGTTTATTTAAAAGGTGTGTGTAACAGGAAATGGTGTGGGTGACAGGAAGTTTGCATGCCCATATAAGGTGATGTGTGAACAGAGGAAGTCTGAGAGAGAAGTGTGTGCGTAGGCAAAATGCAGAGTGTGTGCGTGAAATAAGGGAGTATTGTTTTTTACATCAAGGTTTAATAGAACTAAAGTAGAACGTGACAAACAAACAAAAGAAGGTAAAATGAAGAGAGAAAATAATGTGGTTCCCTGACCGGGAGAGAAATAACTGACAATTACATTAATGAATAGAAAACACACATACACAAAGTGCCATATGAGAAATTATTCTAGGAAGGAGTCAGAAGTAAGATAGTTTAACATAAGATGCAATGAAGGAAGCAGCTTACATTCCTTTAATTCCCAGAGCCAGTGTGTTCCCTCCCTGCCCACTTGGGCCCCGTATCAGGCGGTATGGAAGGCTGGATAGCCCATGACGGGTAAGATCCCACCTCGAAACCCTGGGACAACCTAAGGCAGGCACAGTCACGATTACTCTCGGACCTGACGGGTAAGACCGCTGGGCTAGGGTGGAGGTGGAAAGTGGCAAGTGGAGCCCTACCTTCTGGCTGAGGACAAGGAATGCTGCTATTTAAGGTAGGAAATCAGAATTTGGGTTAGTAAAGTTGGGGAGGAGAAAATTGACTGTTTAAAGGCAAAATTATGAAGGAGTCTGACACACTGTAAAAGCACCATATGCAAATTCACACACACAAACAGGAAATGCATTAAACTTATAAAGACAAGACAAGCTCATGGAGTTTAATGCATAGACATTGATTACACCTAGCTAAGAATACAAACATAGGCAATGAAGAACAGCTTGCTATTTTGTATGAATGATACAATGGTGTGAATGTTTGATAAAATACATTTGAGTTTGTAATTGAGGAATAGAATAAGCCATATGACAAAGGGAGTTATGAAAACGAAAAAGGGATTAAAGTAGTTTTAAAAAAGAGTGACTTAGGAGTGCTCTCGTACTGAGTGATCAACACTAGTGATCACTGTTGGAAGAAATAAAATGATTTAATGAGTTGGGAATGTTTAAACATATGTTTCTGTTGTTACAGCTTCTTGAGAGATGATTCAGTATGCAAATTAGCTGGAGTGTGTGTGTGACTGTGACTTTCAGGAAGAGGAAGCATAGCAGAGACGAGAAGTGCAGATTGGGGTAGGAAATTTATAGTTTAGTGATATGTTGTTGTAAGGGGGTTTTATGCTGAATTGAAGTATGTTATAGAGCATAAGGGGTGATTTTTGTGTGCAAATTGAGTGGGTTTAATGGGACTTTTGGTGTATTGAGGAGGTGAAATTATGTGGTGGCAAGATTTGTGTGTTTAAGGTTGTTGTGGTGATGGGTTGATTCTGTCAGGTAGGTTGTTGTTGGTGTTTTTGTTTTATATAGAGGGAGTTTTAGGAAACATGGACATGTCTAAAATTGGGCCCATTATTTTGTAACAGTGCACTTAAAGAAAACCTGTCAGGTGATTTTGTTTTGTTTTTATGAGCTAACAATCAGCTCTATTTTTTTTTTCATTTCTGTTTTAAGCAGGCCTGCAACAGTGAATAACGGCGCTGAAAATTATCGGGAGGAGCAAATATAAGGCGGCTTTCCAGATTACAATTGGCTGAGGAGAAAGCTACCTGGGGACAATTCAGGTCGTAAGTCCCTGTAAAAAGGATTTTATGCGAGTCAATCCAGTCCAAAAGCATAAAGAAATATTTTCCTATGGAAAATAAAAAATGACGGAGCTCATTTTGCTGAGGGTGGAGTATCTGATCGTGCGGGAGGCTCCACTATCAGCAAATACATGGTGTGCCTGCATGTGAGTGAATGTGTGAGTGAATGTGAGGGTGAATAAATGTGGACAAACAATTTGCTTTTACCAGAAAAATTTTTGTTTTGTTGACTGGGGTTAGATTATGAGATTATAGTATATTGTTGGGAGAATGCCAAATGCTAAAGGGGAAATATTTTTTGATGTAACTCAGTTACCATTAATTGTAGAAACACATGACTGATAACTGTTCTGTTTTAAGTTTATTTTTATGACACAGATTGGATCATGAGTGGGGAAAACTGAGCAGTTTTAAGTTTTGTATAGTATCTTGACACATGAAATGTATCAAGATAAAGGGGGGTTTAGGGTTTAATAATTTAATTGTTTAATAATTTAGGATCATTTTAGGACCTTTTGGGTTTTTGATCATTTGGATATGGTAAAACTGAAACTGTTATTTTTAAGTTAAGGTTAAAGGATTAAAAGTGAACTTGTCACGGTTTGCGAGGCAAGCCGTGTGGAGTTGTAGAAAAGGACCCAAAAGGCGGCAGCTCTGGTGCAGGTGAATATTTATTTACAACGGTGGGCACAAAACAGCACTGGTGGAAAAACAAGAAACCGGAAACCTAAACTGGGTAAGCTAATAACACAAACCAGAAACGAGACGCAGGGAGACCGAGGGGAAACAACATAGACAAACCAGCAACTACCATAACAGAAGACACAACTTAAATACACCCAGAGCACGGGGAGAACACAGACATAACAGGCTGGGGGAAAACATGGAATAAACACAAAGAGAGACGAGAGCTCATAAATACATAGAGGGGCACAAGGGGGTAAGAGTCACAAAGGAAAAAATACTTAGGGAACACCACAACAGGACACCTCAGAAAACCTGGCCTAAATAAGGAGCGAAAATACAAGGAACCAAGAATACTGGGCCAACATGGCCCAGGACCATGAATCCTGTTTAGAAGATACAATGCCGGTTTTTCAAAGCTGTGAATAATTCTTAGAGGGAAAATTAGTGAGGGTTGAAGGGGTAGAACAGCTTTGATTTCTTTTTGATTTCTAGAAGTAGTGGTTATAATGTAGGCTTACACATACAGATATTATATAGGAGGTATTTTTAGGATAAAAGGGGGAGCTTATAAATAGAAATGATTTTTATACATATGCATTTTGTGCTTTTAAAGGAGTTGTGGCTCAAATTTGTCTCTGGAGGGTCACGAGCCTTTGGCTAGCGCTATGATTAGCCAATCTACTGTGAGGATAATATGAGTTCATGAAGGATTGCACACGCTTACAGACACAGAGTTAAGAAACACACATGACAGTATTGATTCCAGGCAAAAGGCCCTAAATTCATTTAGCTTTTAACTGAACTTAAAGAAGGACCAAAGAGGAAGGAAAGCATATATTTTGGTTAAGTCTGATACATTAGAATTAGAAGGTATTGTTACATTAAGGGAGCAAAATGAAATAAAAAGGCTATACCAAAACAGGTGATAACATAGGAAATGTGAGGTTTTAAAATGAAGTTAGTGTTAACACAGAGGAGTTGTTTCAAGGCAGCATTTAGCTATGATGAAATGTATACAGGAGTAATTGCTTATATGCTTGAACTTAATTGATTAAAGTGGTTGTTTTCTTTTGGAGTAGATTAACTTGCAGCAGCGACAACTTGTGCACAGGATGTTGATGATCAGATAAGGGAAAATAGAGCGAGCAACCGGACGTGAAACCAGCGCTTAAAAGAATTTTAAAGTGATGAGTAACGTTGAAGAGTATACATAAATACAAGTCAATAAGTTAAGAAGATAATTAGGATCAGGCTTTTGATTAAAGAGTCCCAGATAGGATAAGTTAGGGAGATGCAGGAAAGGTGTTTTGTTTCCTTTGCAGAAGATCTCGGCGACCACAGGAGGGGCGAGGATCCTGGAGATCTCGAGGTTCGAGACCACCAGAGAAGGGTCTGCGTGAGGACACAATGTATTGTGACCTCTGGTGTTCCAGAGGTCAAAAGGGGGAGTGTCGAGGAGGGAAATTATTTTACTGCTATTGTTAAATAATTGTCATTGCATTAATAATATAATCTGCAGCATGGATATTGCATTCCAAGGTTTAAACAGTGTCTCTTTCAGAAAGACTGAGTTGCAGGCTGACAGGAAGTTGTATGCAGAAAGAAGCAGGAAGTTATTTTGAGCCGCAGGCTAAGACGAGGCTTTAACAATGTAACAGATAGCTTTTTAGTAGAGGTTCTTGATTAAAACATTTATTTAGTAGAAGACATACACATAGTCTCAGTGAGCTTCTGGTCTGGTAAAAGGTCAGAAGTGCAACAGGTGAATTGAGAAAGAGCATTTGAGGACGAGACACAGACAGTAGGTGAAGAGGTGACACAAAGAGCATGTGAGGTCAACACACACACACACACACACACACACTTTAAATTAGATTTATTTAGAGGAGAGGTTAGTTATGTTTGGCTGTAACTGCAAAATTGTCTTGGTAAAAGAGGAACCGTTTCTTGGTGTCTCGGCAAGAAAGAGGAACAAGACAAGAACTGAAAGGTAGACAGGAAGGGCTAGCCATGAAAATAGAAGATGATTTTCTAGGTAAAAAGTCATGATGATGTTGATCTGATCTATGTATAAAATGTATCTGTGACGCATGAAGGGGCGTCAGTAAACAAACCCTGATGCTATAAAATATCTGTTCATGCTTTGATTAAGTCGAAGACTACTTCCTGTCTGCGTACAGAGTTCTCTTCCCACGCGTGTATTCATTAAAATCATCGTTTGACTTCACCCGGTCGGATCGGTGTGGTTATTCTTCGATCACCTCTTGTACCCTTCCTCAATATTGAATCTTAACACTGCAAACTGCTCCAGTGCATGCTGATGGTCATGCTGTGATGAAGAACAATATCTGATGGATGCAAACTGACTGAATAACCTCATCAGGAATGCCGAATCTGTAGTCGGCGTGAAGCTCATCAGCCTGGAGATTCTTTTAACCTCACTGTCTGAGAGTCTGCTGCTATCAGACTCTTTAATTCATCTACTTGAGTCAGACCCACACATACTGATCAAGACTAAACACACCTCACTGCACTCTGCCACAAAGTATATGTGCACACCTAGCAGCACCTTTGACCTGTTAATGTCCCAGAAACATTAATGTTAATACGTATGTCCTTTTATATTTATATCTTGAAGTTTCGCTGATCTGATCATTTGCACAACACAGGGATGTGATTTTGAGGTTCCCACAATGGACACCACCTCACACCAGCTACACTTTGACATCCTGTCCACAAACATCACTAACAGGATCGAGGGAGGAGTACCAACACTGGATCAACACGTGTACACATCATCATTTATCTTTCAGAACTTTGCTCCTGTTTAGTATAAACTCTTAGGCTCTTCTATTTCACCTCCAGGTCCCTCCGTTCAATTGTGCTCCTTGAGTTTAAAAGTTCCTCTTCTCTACTTTTCAGCCTGAGCTCCAAGGCGCGGTTCTCATCTTCCCACTTCTTCTTCTGATCGTTGATCATGATGTCAATTTGTCGCATCAGTTCCTGAAGCTCCGGCTCACACGATGAAAGGACTGAGCTGAAAGACAAAGCCAAATAATGAAAAGGGTGTAATTTCTGTAAATGCTCATGGCCCAAGTTAGTTCTTTAAGCGCAGTGCAACTTACCTCAGATCAGGGCTGTGCATCGACCCCAGAAAAGCCTCCATCTGGTTCAAAGTAACGTCAGCCCTGTTAGTAACTTAAAGCGGACTTGCTTTACGGGTGCTTCACGTGCCCTTTCCCCACGCAAGAAGTTTACTATAACTTAGCAACCATACACGTTACTAGCAACCCATAATACACAGCGAGCTAAACCATGGCTGACCTCACTGCTACACGGAGGTGGTTTCTGCTTACAGCATTGTTAGCTCACGTTAGCTGCTGGCTGTGGCTGGTCCGTGTCAACTCATCCAACTTTATTTGTTTACATCACTAGCTGGACTGCCGAACAGCGCGCTTCCTGAGGTATGGCGGTAACTCCACCACTGCATGTGATGTCAACACGCTGTACGTAACTTCAGAGCACAGGAAGCAGCTTGTTTAAAATACTCAAAACAGACCTGTTATCCACACGCCTAGCTATGAAAGTTCGTATTTGGAAATTCCCTGTTGCCTGTAACGATTTTTTAACAAATATTATCATAATATAGGTCATCTTGTTGGCTTCTTAGAAGATTAAAGGATATTGTCAGACATTCTATGAACACGTGGCTCGTTGGTCTAGGGGTATGATTCTCGCTTCGGGTGCGAGAGGTCCCGGGTTCAAATCCCGGACGAGCCCAATTTTTGTACCGTTAAGGACTGTTGACATATTTACTTCAAACATCTGCAGTGAATTTTTGTGGAGTCTACGTAAGTGGTCAGCACTGCTACCAGTTTTCAAGCTAATGCGCGTTTTCACTTCTGAATTGGCTTGTGGTTGTGTTCTGGTGTTCTGGGAATCCGTCCCACCACACTAAAAACTCTACCCGTTGTTTCTGCGCATGCGCCACGCGTGCGCAAAAACACAAACCCCAAATTGACTTCATTTTTTTAGGCCAATGTGAATATTTGTTATGGTTATGATTAGGGTTATGGTTACGGTTTGTCAGAAGTCACTTTCAAATTATCGTACGTATAGGACGATTTGCCAAAGTAGGACGGTCTCAGAACCGGTGATTTATATGCTGTGCCAGTCACGGTAGAAACCAAGAAAATAGTGTAGGGTCCCTACTCTTTGTGGTCAGTTGTATTTTTGGAAGGAAAAATATTTCTTACGTCGATTCCGTCCAAACAGTTTTCAGGAATTTGCTGACATCGGTTAGTCCTTATATTGAGGTTGCGATTATATTCTCTTATAGCGATGCGATGATTGTTGATTAAGTACATTCATGGATGTGTTAACATATAAAAACGCTACCACGGGATTCCCTGCAACTGGCTCGTTGGTCTAGGGGTATGATTCTCGCTTTGGGTGCGAGAGGTCCCGGGTTCAAATCCCGGACGAGCCCTCCTTTTCTATTTTTCCTAAAGGATATCAACCCTTTTCAATTTATCTTGAAACATAAGGATGTTTTTAATGTTAAAGCTAACTAGATTACTTTTTCTGTTTGACTACACCCGCCTTCCATTGCGTCATTTCCCCGTTTCTCCACCTGCCTGTTGTCAAACACTGAACAAAGAGCGTCCCAGCCGCTCTGCTTCCCCAGCTGTTATGCTGGGTGGGTATGGGGTCGTGAGAAAGAGAAAGAGCTAGAGACGTTTCTGTTCCGCCCCCACAAACCCAACAGACACTCCTAACAGGAGGCAGACGAGCCGGCTTTCTGACACCATTTACTGCAGAGAGGCTGAGCTGTGCAGCCAAAGACGGACAATAAATTACACGCAAAGGCCAGCTGTAAGTACACTCTTTATTATTATTATTGAAACATTTTTCTTTCAAATCAGCATAAGATAGTAGATGGTAGTGTATTTTGGTATATTGCTGTCCTTTCTAATCAGCTCCATTGTCTGGAATAGAACATCAATAATCCTACAATAATCCAGATTAACCTTTATTTAAATATTAAATTATTAGATCTTAATTGGACATCTTAACTACAAATGTAACTTAAATTTGATGCAGCAATGCTTCTAATAGCTAATAAAAATGTTTTTTTTTAATGTATTAGAGAGTCACTTTGGTGAGCTTGGGACCTGCAGGAGCCATCATCTTCACCATTGTTGCTAAACACCGGACTTGCAGAAAGCCTTTTCACACCCATTCAAAATTTAGATTTTGTAGAAAAATCATTCATTCCACAAGTTGTCGGGGTTGACCATGGTTCTCTGTGAGGATGGCGAATGTAGCGTCTGCCTGTTGCCCTACTCCCGGGTGGAGAGGATCCCCCGGGTGCTCCACTGCAGGCACACCTTCTGCGATTCGTGTCTGGAGAGGATGTCAACGGAGAGGAACGGTCTGCTCACCGTGGGCTGCCCTTTGTGTCGCCGGGTGACCTGCATAGGCCGAGGTCGAGGTCTTCGAGAAGCTCTGTGGGTCAACAGCAAGCTGTGGGACCAGATACCGGAGGATGTGGACGTAAGAGAAGAAGAGGAAGAGGAGGACGGAGAGAAGCAAACAGCTGCACAGGAGAGGATAGAAGATAAACAGTTACAAGGAGAATGGTGGGTTTATCATTTTGAGTCTTTAAACATTACAACGTGGAAGTTGAGGACTGTAAATGTTTTAAATGGCAGAAAATGAGAACAAAACCTCTTTGGAGGGAGTGCTGAATATAAAATTCCTGTCATACCGAGTCATTTACACATTAGTGCCGAGCAGTCCATTTGTCCACACAGCTTCTCATTAGCGCCTCGGCTCTACAGCATTCTTCCCAAAGCCCAGTCTGACACGAGAGTCTTTTCTCTTTTCAGCATTTCCTCGAGATCCGCCAGAGCGAAGCTCAAACTGCCCACGTTCTTCAGGAGGTTCAGCCTGACGAAGCAACACCAGGAGAGAATCGTGTCTGGCAGCAATGTGTACGTCCTGAGTTTGTAGCTTTTATTTACAGATTATTAGTAAAAATGATCACTTAAATTTTTCTGTTTGTTTAATCTTAAAGGGAAATGAAATCCTGGCGCAGACTTTCAACAGAAGAGACTTTTTAAAAATACGAAAACTGACAAGTGGCCGCTCTCAGGAAGAGAAGACACAACTTTGAAGGGAAGCTGTGGTCGCTGGGGGAGGAGGATTCATTTGTGATCCTGTCAGGACACGGTTTTGTCCTCAGCCAAAGGTGCTCCGTCTCCCCATTATTTATTCTAGGATTAATTCTCCCAGCCGTTGCTGTGGGATTTAGTTCAGCTGTCCCAGAGCGGCTAACACCCGTAGACCTAGACCCCCTCAGAACAGATGGTCCCCTCTCCATTTCAGCTTCTGAATAGCCATCATAACTTATTGTTTTCTGTATTTATGATAGCTAGGACATGAAGTATTTAATAAAACTATTTTTGAGACAAGTTTCCATTGGGTTTTATTGACATCTGAAAGAATCATGAGCTTTCCTCCTTTACCGCATGCACCATTTATGACACATGAAGTATTTAAGTGAGTGAAGAAAGTGAAGCCAGGAGGGGATTTCTGAATATAATTTCTGTGGAGAAGACGCACAACAAAAACCTGCCACAAAAGACTCATTCAACCACGAAAGTGGATTATAAAACTCCATTCACCGAGCATCTGGCACATATTCCACGTTCAATGATATCTGCAAACTGGATCATCACTTTCTTTTTGTTCCACCTTATGTGCACGTTAAACCCGCCCGACATATTTTAAAGAAGAAACGTTGAGAGGACTATGATGTGTTTGTTGTCTCAGTCACATTAAGGTCAGTGCTGTTTGGATGGAGCTGAAAATCTGTTAGTTGTCACACTGGTTTGGACTCAACTGTTAGCCTGCACACTCTTAGTCATGTATTGGCAGGCGGTGTGTTATTCTGCCTTTAGATACCATATTCCCACGTTTAAGTGTTAAATGACTGCCAAACAGGAAGCTGCTTCCAAGTTCAAAACAAGCTGGCAGCCACGGGGGCGGGCTGGACGGGAATGTATCAGGAAGGCAGCAACAAACAAACACGCACACGCATGATTGTGTATATGGGAAAGAACCAGTTTCAGTTTTGCAATGTATTTACTGGCTCTCAGTGCAGGCCTGATGGTGGTAATACCCAAGATTAAAGCTGAACAGAACAGGAAACAACTCCCAGATTGTCTCAGCAGTGGTGGGATAATGTAGATAACTGACTTCAGTTAGATTTGGAATGCTAAAATATAAAATTACACTTTTCCTGGAGGATAATTTAGGCCTAGCATCAGAATTAAATACTGTGGTAAATTACACCAACCTAAAAACTGAAGGCCCGCGTAAGCACCTGCAGGTTTCTTTGGTCAGACTGATTAATGAGGCAGTTATTTACCCCGGAGCCGCAAAAATATTTTCAGCTCCAGCGGGGAAACTTTGCAACAACGTCATGGTGTAAGATCATTTCCTCAGTACTGCATTGCAAACAATAGTACATTCCTGTTTGAGTATCTGAATTCACACAAACACTCGCAGTACAGAATAATACGTCTGGGATTAATTAAACAAATTAAAGATCAACTTTCATTCTTGTGATTGAAACACTACGTTATTACCTGCACAGGTGGCCTAGAAAGAGTCACCATTTAGTTTCTGTTTTACAGCTGGAAACAGCAATGAAATCAGCAAACCGTCATGAGTAGAAACTGGAGATAATCGTTATTGAGTCAAAGTAGAAACCATGCATGCCACGACACGTGTGATAACTTTACACAATAATTCCTTATTGTGACCTACACAATGAGAGAGTGCACATAACAGCAAGCTTAAAGTCATGACAGTACAGCAGTTTTAGCATTATCCAATCATCTCAGGGTTTTTATTGCGTCCCATATTTTTTTGTGTTGTAGTTTTCAAAAGGTTAAAATTTAAGACAGACACCTTTTGAAAGTCTGGCTTTTATCCAGTGTGTATAAAGGAAACCTTTGATATTTTGTGTTAGTAATACAAAAAGAAGTTTTTAATTTACTGTATCATTGCTTTTTTAGGCTGCCAACAAAGACTTAAACTAAGATTTTTTATTTTTTTTTTATTTTTTTTAGGTAGGTGGGACTGGATCTGGGTTGGAAATGCTCTGACCGTTTACAGATTGTTTTACAGCAGCTCTACGTCCTTGTT